GAGAGAGAGAGAGAGAGAGAGAGAGAGAGAGAGAGAGAGAGAGAGAGATTGACATGATATAGGCAGTGAGGCAGGTCACTAAGCAGTATGTGGGAAGTAATTAAAAATGTGAATTAAATGGAATTATACGACAGTTTATGTAAAATGAGCCTCTCACTCAACATAGTTCAAACAACCCAACCTGTGGAACAGGACGGGGTTAATTCATTTATTTTTTCAGTGTGTATCTGACCTGTTTGTTCCAACAGCTAGCTCCATTTGGAGCTTCTTATTCCAAACTATGAGTTTAAAGAATATATTTTGAATCACACTTATAGAGGATGTATTTGCTCAAAGTCAAAGAAGTTCCACAAGAAGGGTTTCAAGTGTTGTTTTGGGTAAAAAGAGTTAAAAGGGTAAAAAGAGAAGAAACCCACTAAGATGTATTTCCTCTTTGGTGAAGTAATAAAAGATTCTTAGAAATTATTTTGGCTTCACAAAGAAGGAAACACACATCAAAAAACCACATCAGATGTCTCAGAAAGTGGATCAAGAGATAAAACTAGATCTTCTCATTATGAAACAATATGATTATCTTTTATAAATTATGTGTTTGTCTTGAATGAAATAGGTCAACTACGAACATCTGGAGACTTTGGGAGGAACGAAGGCTCTTATTTTTAAGTCCACAATACTAAAATATATCAGCAAGAGTTACACATTTTGCAGACACAAAATAAAAATTGTAAAAATCCTTATAATTAATCATTAAAATTTGTATATTTTCAGATCTTTGACCATCTAGGCTTATTTGTTCACAGTCTAAGCAGCAACATAGAAAAAGCGTCCTGGTTACTCTGGTTAATCCCGCTGTAAACTGGGAGAATTGATCCCTTTGACAGACGTGGGGTATGTGGATTATCCTTTAGATGACAGTTCTTTAAATTGAATTCCTCTGTTGTTAGAGATTAACCTGTGAAAGCGGGTTTACGCTGTAAAAACAGGTCAAAAAGGGGATTGACTTGGGCTCCTGTAGACCGGCAGCATTCGCACCTGAAGGTTGGTGCTGTAATGATCTTTTGTGCTGTTTTTGGACACGCTTGCAGTAAGAGATGCAATGTTGGTTCACCACTTTGGTCCAGACTGAGCTATATCTTCAGCTGTTGTTGTACATTCGTGGTTCCCAGAGGATGAATCCCAATTACTCTGGTTATCACCATGGATTGTGCTCTGGTGGCACGAGGTTCATTTGTGGTTTTGAGTCAAACGTCTCGACAACTATTGGATGGATTGTATCATAAACAAAAATAGAAGTCACAGAAATTATTACCAGATAAACATTTTCCCTTCAAGTCTTTAAATGTCGCAAAAAAATAAATGTGAATCAGGCGCAGGTTCCATCAACTGGTTTGGAGAGAATAGACAGGCCATTCTCATTCCCAGGGCGTCAAATACTGACGCTTTGTCACGCCCCAGGGCACCCTTTAGCATCTGTAGTATAGAGACTGTAAAGGGTCAAACAAACACAGGACTTTCAACTGGTAGACCGGTGTTCATGTCCCAAAGTGTTGTTGAGTTTAAAAGTCACACTAGTGATGTTTGGGACGTCTTTTCCGCACTTACGTCACATTGTTTACGTTTTACTTAGTTTACGTACTTATTTCAAGCCCAACCATGATGGTTTTCCTAAACACAACTAAGTGTTTTTGTTTGAATTCACAACGTTACCAACCGGTTCAGTGGGGCCGTAGTGGAGCGTCATAGTTTGATGCGTTAGATAGTGAAGCCAAGGGGCCAGTATGTGACGAGGTGGGATGAGAACGTGTAGGAATAAACTAGGCTGCATAGTTTCCTCAGAAGTTGGTGGAGGCTCTATGCATGGCTGTATTTCCACAGAAGAAGAAGAAGTAGAAGTTGCGAACGGGCAACAGAAACGGGTTCACCAGTTTTAATTCTTCTATATGTCAGCTAGCATTAGTCATGTTTCATGCTGTCCGGAGACGAAGAATATATAAATATATATCCAGGAAACGACAAAGGCAAAAACCTTTATAATACATATATAATAATATAAAAATATATCAATGTAAACAAAGCTGTTCTCAAGGTCAGCCACACAGAACCGCTAACATGGCTAAAGCTCTCTTTATCTTAGTTTTGAGCACCGCTGATCCATTAACGCAGTTTAACACTTCTTAACACAATACTCTGTCCTCCAATCCCAGTTTCTTCTATTGCTAAAATTATTAACTAAAAGCGAGACAACAATGAAAAAGAAGACTCGTGACACCTTAACGTTTATGACAGCTTCATGGTTTTGATTTATTGAATAAATCGTCAAGGGCCAACACTTCTGACATGCAGTTGTACAAGGACGGAAATCTATTGTGCAATGTGCACCATTTAAGCAAACTAGAACATCAAACATATACGATTGTGCCACATGGAGGACTTGGACACTGTAAAAGACAATAACAAGAGTACAGTTACACCTTGATGCCCTTCCATGTTGGTCAGGCTTTTAAAAAGCATCCCAGAGTAAAATGAGAGACTAGGCTGCCCGAAAGAGAGAAAAAAGAACATTTTTCATGGTGATAATACTTTAACTAAAGCACGTGACATGTTATCATATTAAATTTGTGTGCTTGAGTTGCTACAACACACCTGCATAATTACAGTATCGCAAGATATGTAATCTAAACACAGACAGTTTCAGAAAGACAGTATGTGCTTCATCCATTGCAACTTCAGTGAAGAGAGTAACACATTTAAATTTAGATGTGGGAAAGTTTCAATTAGGTGACATGTACTGGGGAATATTGACGTCTTCTTCATAGTTTTTAGATTGACAGAGAGCTTTGTTACATTAATGTTATTTACAGTATGATAAAGAAAGCTGTTCAGACAGTTTGCATACTTTGGTGACACGTAATTAAAACCCTGGAGGAGATTCTGCATCATATTGAATTTTGAGCATTGGGGCGTTATCGTCACAGCTGCTGACGGTTTGCAGACTGAAGGAATAAAGTGTGAACGACAGGTGCAATGAAGAATCTGCAGAGGAGTTACTTCGAAGGTGAATACTGAATCAAACGAAGAGCGTCTTCATTGTCCAACACTCCCTGGATGAACTCTCCTTCTGCCACTCGCTCTGGAGGGAGAAAAGGAAAAGAAGTTTAGTTCAGGTCATCAAAATGAAATGAAATGAAAGACACTCGTTAAAGCCTTTCAAGAGTAACAGACGGGAGCAGACTGAATCATTTGCAGTCTCCAATAGTGCAAACAGACCATTTCGACACGACTGTGTCAAAGTCACAATCATTTTGAATGTAAATGAATTAGTTTGCTCCCGTGTTTTTCTCATGGACGTTTGCTGTCCTCAAGCTGACAAGCATCTGATTCAGCTGCACGCTGCATACTGCTTGAATATGTGGAGAGACTGTGCTGTGTTGATGCATCACGGGGTTGAGAATGGAAAAGGAAAGGGTCATCATTTTATTTATTTATTAGTTTATTTGTATTGTCTCGACTGTCTCACTGAGCTTTCTGTTATTGTTATTATTGCCTTGCTGTTGCTGCTTTTGTCTGTCAAAGCACTTTGTAAACTCTGTTTTTAAAGGTGCTATATAAATAAAGTTGTTATTAGTATTCTAGTGGAATGCTATCATCATGAATGGATTAGGTGTCTCTTTGAAGTTGTTTTGCGTCTCTTTCTGATTATTTTGTGTTTCTTTGCAGTTGTTTTATGTCTCTGTGTGGCCAGTTTGTGTCTCTTTGAGGTTGTTTTGTGTCTCCTTGGGGTCATTGTGTGTCTCTTTGTAGATGATATATGTCACTTTGTAGTTGTTTTGTCTCTCTTTGTGGATATCTTAGGACTTTTTGGAGTTGTTTTGCGTCTCTTTGTGTCTCTTTTTAGGTCCCGGCAGGCCAGTAATCCATCCTATAATCCCATGACGTGAAGTATCACTCGACACTAGACTATAAACAGGTGGTTGGACTTAAATCTGTACAGTCGTACAGCCGAGACAAAGCTGTTTGGAAGAATAGATCATTTTGATGGCTGACCGAGTACACAGACTAGCTCTGTCCGAGTGGACAGAGCAAAATCAATTCAGTCATGTCTCCGTTCACCCTGTTATATCTCACCGTTTTCGCGCTTATCAAAGAAGTTCCAGAGTTTATCTGCCCTCTTCTCAGCTGTGTTTTCATCATCAGCCAGAGCGGCCAGCTCATCTTTAGGAATCAGCTTGAAAATTGCCTGTTAGGGAAAAATGAAAAAAAATAAGAGAGTAGCATTAAATTTGAATTAACCAACAAACTCCTCTTTTGTTCTGTGATTATATGACCTCTGATCTTTAGAATATAAATGTGGTGTCTATGAATGGGCCGGCTGGGGAAAACAAGATTTCAAAGCCTTCAAAAATATAGTATTAATTGTCGTTGAGTGCTATAATGTGGAACCTGTCAGTGGGTTCCTGTCTCTTTTTTAACCTTAATAACTGACTTAAAAAACATTTTCTGTAACAGATTGTATAAATATCTGAAGCATTTTACATTTCAACATTTATTAATCTCACCACATATGGAATACAAACTACAGGAGATTGGCAGCACAGTGAATACTGAAACGACTAACTCACTGTTTACTGCATTTGCAGGGCTTAAAGAAAAGATTACCAAAAACAAATGGCCAGACTGTCAAATCAGTGATAAATGATCTTACTCAGCCGTACTGCAGTCAGACTGAAGAAGGATTTGGCTTTTTTTTCCCTCAAACCATATTTTTCTAAATCTCTTACTGTTAAATTCAATTCAATTCAATTTATTTTGTATATCCTACAATCACAAATTTGCCTCAGAGGGCTTCACAATCTGCACACATGCAACATCCTCTGTCCCGGGACCCTCACATCGGTCCAGGAAAACTCACATATTAGGGTTTAACTCACATATAGGGTTTTCTGGCTATTTTGTAGTGCAAAAAAAGAATTTGATTCAATTCCAACTTTATTTAAGAGGGTCCATAGCAATACGAAAAGGAAAATAACATACAAGATATAACCCACAACAATGCATCATTCAATTAACCTGTTTTCTGAGCCTGGATGAGTCCATTTGTATCAATCTTGTAAATTGTGTTTGTAAATTCCGTCTTGCGGTAATATGTGAAGAATGTCTGTTTTATTAGTCATGTGTCTAATGTGACATTGATATCTGTCTATGTTTGATGTTACTTACACTGCTGCATTGAGCTTCCCCACCATGCCAACACGTTCTCACTCCACACTCATCAAATACCAACGCTTGGTCAATGGACCTAAGCATCAACTAGCATCTGTTTTGGATGTGTCCCTTTCTGTTCTTTACTTGCATAGTGTCTTTTCAACATGGAATTCCAAAGTAGGTTTACTTGGTTTTTAGTTTTACTTGGTTAGATTGAGGAAGAGAGTGTTAGTTTGAGTTAAAATAAGCATGTTTGTTAGAAAAAATAAGTATACAGTACGTGTTATGTAACTTACGGACATTGCCTTCAAGGGAAATAAACAGCAGCTTCATGGGTATGCAGACACTAAATGGCACCTCAATGAGTCAGCATGAGACGGGGAGGGCCACTGACAAAGCGTTGGTATTTAACGAGTTTGGAGTGAGAACGGTATACCATGCTTTGCCGAAAATAAATCCCACGGACCTCGGTTGAATATCTGTCATCATACAAAATCATCAGTGAGAAAATAGCCAAGGCAATTTATGTTTTTGCATGTCATGAGGAGTATTGTTCAAGAAATACATATAAAATAATGTAATTGTGTGCCATTTTTTTCTCTAAAAACTAATTGGGGAAAAAGGCATTGAAGTCAGGCATGGATAATCAGCCAACATAGTGTCATTAGCGGTGCATTATTTTCGATTGAAATGTTTGTTCAGTTTATATCTGACCATTTCAAAGTTTTAATGATGAAAAGTTCTCACATTTGAGGTTATAATATTTATTATTCACTATAATGTTAAGTTCTGCCAAATTGCCAATGTTGACCTTTGTCCAGAAGCCACCAAAAGATGCAGTATGTGACATTCCGTAAAGCATTCTGTATGCAGATGATACTGTTATCTATACTGCCAATGCACATTCTCTCAACAAGAGATGGTTTAAACTGAGTCTTTACATTGGTTTAATTTTCTAATTTCAGTTTTAATAATTACCATGTCATGTGTCATGTCTTGATCCAAAATTGTTAGAATTAGATGAAATCAGTTCCCTGTCCACTCTTCATTCTCTTAATTCTATATTTATGTATATCCTCACTCCAAAGCCCTCGGTAGGCTTAGCCCTTAAACTGTTTATCAGTATCAATTAATCAATCAATCAAGTCTAATCTTATGTCTTGAGTTACCTAACAAGGGTAATACCATGAGATGCAAAATAGTTTTCAACACTGCAGATAAATTTGGTGAAGGGGAAATCAGTGCTTTCATTAAGTCGGTTGGTGCTAAGGATGCGGTCAGAAATGACAAAAAAGGAGTTGCACACCCAAATAAAGCAACATATTTTCATAAGATGATATGCTTCAACAGAATATGCTCCTGTGATCTCCTATGAATACTGTACATATATCTTCCTTTAAGTCACAGCTCAGCAAATGATCCATGCATTTTACTATCTAACCCATCCACCCATGTTTTTCTCTCACTTTTCATCAACTCCTTCATCTACAAATCAATTTAACTGTCTTTTCCACCAAAGTTTTGAATACGTTCCAGTCTTAAGATATACAAAGTATCCTTCTCCCACTTAACCCCAGTTTAATCACTGGTGAGGTCTGAAAAACCTGCCAATGGCTGACGTTTGTCTAGAAGTCAATAACAGATAAAGTACAGGACGGTCTAATATCAACTTCTATGCAGATGACACTGTTGTGTTTCACTCTTGTTCGTGTTTCAATTTGAGTACTAAACTGTTCCTTCATGCAATTCCCTTAATATCTGGAAGCCAAACAGTTAACAAACTGCAAGAACTGGTTGTTTCCAACTCTCTAAAACTCACCGTACAGATCTCCTTGACTTCTGCCTTGGTGATATATCCGTTCTTGTCCACATCGAACAGCGAGAAGGCCCACTCCAGTTTCCTGGTGGTCTTGCCTGTTGATGTCATGTGGAGAGCGATGATGTACTCCTTGAAGTCCAGTGTGCCATCGTCGTTTGTGTCAAAGGAGCGGAAGACGTGCTGGGCGTATGTTTGGGCATCACTTTCTGGGAAGAACTTGCTGTAGATGTTCTGAAACTCTTCTTTTGTGATGCGCCCCGTTGGACACTGCTTCTTGAAGTTTTCATACCACTGGGCAATCTCAGTCTCTGTGTACTTGGTGTTGAGTTTCAGGTCCTCCAGAATCTCCTTGGACACAGCGCCACTCTTGCTGTTACCCATTGTTGATGGTGTTGGGGATGTTTTAGAGTTATATATAAGTGAGAATTTGTGCTCTTCTAGAGCAATTAAAGACACAGCTTCAACCTAGGGAGTTGCCTCCTCTACTCAGTCAAAGTGGCAAACAGAAGACTATCCCTGAGGTATGGCTGCAGTATGCTTCTTGATCCTGGTCGTGCCTAAGTCCACAGAAGCATATGCTGTGAAAAGAGCAGAAGCCGCTTGGTAAGCTCATTAAGCCAATCAACCATCAGTAATACCAGCAAGAGGTGTCACGGACAAGGGTTAACCCAGGTAAAGGCTGGAGTGCTTGCTTATTGACATTTAAAGTGTGGTGCTTCAGACACTTCCGCAATTCTCTACCCCTTCGCTATTTTAAAACTAGCAGACTGCATTATGGTACCGAGTCTTAGCAAAGTAAAATTCTATAAGCCATTAAATTATGTTACCTGACACATTTTGACAAGAAAATAATCTGTGATAACTGATTTATGGAAAATTGATCCATCCTTTATTTTAGCAAAGTTGATCAGATCTTAAAAATGTGGGTTTCTAAAGGTTTGTATAAACAAATCTTTGGGGATAAAGAAATCAATTACCACAAATTCAAAGTACAAAAAAAATGTAATTTCAAGCTGCTGGACAGAATGTGGTGAGCAAAAGGCAAACCACAGTCACATGTTCCGGTCATGTTCGGACAAAATTGGCTTTGAAGATCCTTTGAGAGAGTTAACATTTTTTGTAATTTCTCTAAAAAATAAACCCACTTATGCAACTATTTGGGAAAATACCAGAAGAGATCAAGAAGGAAGATTTGCATTAATTCCTAGTGATAAGGGTAGCAACAATTAAACAAATTACAAAAAAATGTTTCAAAGATCCAAATGAAATGAGCTTGTACATGAAATATATAGAATGGTACAAATAACCATGACAATTATAAAATGAAGATATTATCTTAAGTTTAATAAGTTATCGGTAAGTCTTCTCTTTTCATCATCTAAGTTATAAAAATTCCACATGGTACATTAATGTTGATGGAGAACAAAACAGATCAATTAAAGGTGAAAAGACAACAACAGAAAATGTATGTAAACATTGCTTTTCATCCATTAAAAGTCTTCTCTTCCCTTCTTATGCCTCTACGAATCTCACTTGAACCTAGTTTAAGATAAATACCTCCAATACCAACAGTCAAATAGTCTAAAGGTCCAATTCAGTTTCTGGAGTCCTAAGGATGGTGATATTCCGTTTGTTTCCTACCTGTGAGAGCAGCTGAGGAGTCCAGGACCAACAGGGACGATGTGTTTGTGAGCAAGAGGAAGTCAGCCTCTTCTTGTCCAGATAAGTCAATTAAAGCGGATCACCCTGACGCAGAGCCTCAGCAGCGACCATGTGAAGCCCTGAGCTGCTTCTTCTATTTTTTTCATGTAGTCAAGTGGCCAAGTCACATCTATCTAGAATGTGTTTTAAATATTTGATCGCTTACTTTGCAGATTGAGATTAATACAAAATACAATCTTTAAATGAATGATAATATATGATTATAGATTCAGATTTTATTGATCCCCAAGGGGAAAAACAATATTTAAAACAAGTAAATACAATTAGCTCAACCTTTAAAGCATCACTAATCATAATACAATAACATACATTATTATGATATAGTCTATTCACTCTGAGTACTTTTACTTTTGGCACTTCAGTATATTTTGATGCTAAAGTAAAAAATTTGAATGCAGCACTTTTACTTGTGAAAGAGAATTTTTGCACTGTGGCATTCCTACTTTTACTTTTAGTAAAATATCTAAGTACTTCATCACAGTCGACTTCATCTCAACAGAACAATTATACAATTATGAATCATTTGCAAATATATGCAAAGTGATTTATTGGTTTGGTTACCAGCCGCGACAGCGACGCTGGTATTGTTTTCATCTTTCGAGGCTGCATCCATGTGTGATTTTTGTGACCGCGATAGCGTCAAAACTGTGCAAGATGCAGGAACGAAACGTCACAGATGTGTAGTTGAGATCAAGATGAAGGCTGGAGTTTGATGGTGAGTGTGGTGCAAGCAAGGGCACACGAAGTAAGGGAGTAGGAAGTGAGGAAGGAGCGTTTGTCAACCTCCCACACACTTTTTTCATTGTGATCCCGTCGAAAGATGGTGTCTATTTTAGGGCGTATTTAAGACTAATTAAAGGACATAAACTTCAGTTTAGCTTAGCTTAGTTTAGTTCAGTTATGCAATTTACTTTATATAAATCTTGGTGAACTTGAAGTAAATTTTGGCTTCATTAAATTTAGAAAATAGAAAGAAAAATAAATGTTTCCATTTTTAGTCTGACTCACTATCATAAATAATAATAATAAATGTAATTTTCCAAATGAATTAACCGAAGACTTGAGTTCATAAAAGCTTCTTTGGAGAGCCATAGTGTCCCATGATGGTCCAAGAGTGGTTTAATAGTCTTTTACATCTTTTCAAGTCAAATGAAGAGTTGGATGTGATTTTCTGCCTCTTGAATGGTTATATTTAAAGATATTTAACTTGTCAACACTGCCAGTATTATCAACTGCTTCAGTGTACAAACACTCTGTATTATTGTGTATGTATTGTGAGATCTATATGACAGGGAAGATGGAGGTTTGACATGTCACAGGTTAAAGGTCGGACCAAAAGCGGACTACAAGGATCGGCCTGCAGCTCGGCTCTTGTCTTGGGGCTGCAGCGGATAACAAGGCAACTGACCTGGCAGTGAAACGCTGCCTGATTACGAGCCCGCTGCAGGTTTTATCCGACGTATAAATAAACCCGATCAAGTGAAGTGACAAAGTAAAAGTGAGTCCTTCCCCAAACTACCTCGGACCTTCGGGCAGGCAAAGACTTAACAGTTTAACATCAGCGAGTGGTGCTGAGTGGCTCTGTGATTTAAATGTGCTTAAAGGAGAGTTGACCGCTCAACCACCATCTGCTCCATCTTAAACCAGACAACAAAGAAAAGTCCGAACTCTTCAGGATTCAGGGGTCTTGACCCGAGTGGTATTTATACCCTCTGTCCTCCCTCACCTTTCTGCCAGCTCACTTTAATGTATCTCCTGTGTTTGTAAGTAAGTTTACTGCTAATTCATCACTCAGACGTGTAGCAGGAACAAAACAATACTCGCATTTTCACATTTTTCTCTACCGTAACTCAGCAAATGTACACAGCTTTAAAGTCTCTCCACCTGAACATTGACGGGCTCTTCCTTAGCTGACACGGCTGCTGTTTAGTTTGGTTTGTTTCAGACATTTTTACAAGTGGACATCACTGATTACTTACTCTCCATGTTTGTTTAGTTTAGATTATGTATTCTTTAAATAAATGTACATATTTATCACCTTTAACTCGTCTGGTCTCCCATTCATGTTGCCGCCTTTGAGTCGGGTTGTAAATCTAAACCCTAACCAAGTAGTTTTGGGACATTTTTTGTTTTGTTTCAATTTACAACATTTAGCACATTTTTGAAACTGTTGAAAACTGTGACCGTATGTTTCCCTCTAAATGTAATTGATTTTTTGAGTTGTATGGGAATGCAGTTTTTGTAGAAAGCAGGAACTGACATCATCAGAATGTTATAAAACTACTGTCACTAATCCATCCATTATCCGTGTCTGCTTATCCTTTACACTGGATGATATCGGGCGAGAGGCGGGGTGCATCCTCTACAGGTCGGCTGACACGTATAGAGACATGAAACCCTTCACACTATCCTTCACACCTACGGTGGTGAACCTGACCTGCATGTCTTTGGATTGTAGGAGGAAGACATGCGGAAAAAGGCTCAATCCGGCAAACACAAAACCCTCTTGCAGAGGTGTGATCTCAGGAACCTGACTCCTATAAGATAATGTCACCAGGCAGAGCAACGACTACCACAACACACTATAATGTGTGATCAATCTGATTACGATGACATAACTGCACTGCAGACTTCCCTTTACACCCACTGCTTTATCTCAGGACAACTATAGAGCAGCATCTAGAATACAGTAAGCCCTCCTGGCAAACCGCTGATCTCTCTTCTGTATTAAATAAAACAACTTAATTCCTCTGCTGACGTACTGAGGGCCCAACTTCAGCAATCTGCCTCCCTACTGGCACCATCGTCCTGCGGCTCCACAGGTGATTTGGATTTTGCCATCTGGCTGCCGAGGCTTTGTGGTGCTCTGCCAAAGGACGTGCAAAATCAATGTCACCTTCTGAGTGAAATAGCTTCTTAAAGAGGAACGATGTAGCTTTTAAACAAAGAAGGAAAACACTATCTTCTCCCATGGAAATAAGAAAGTCATAGCCAATAAAAAGCATCGTCAAAAACACCTTGGCAAAGCAGGTCAGGCCTGTGGAGAGGCGCTGCATGTGCAACCAATAATAATAATAATGCACTCGCTCCCTCGCTCCCTGTAGCCCACATAAAGCTATCACAACATGAGATATGAATATTCTCTGCCCTCTCACATACGCCATAGTCCCAACAGCTAACTAGTTAGCTAGCCCTACCACACACATCGGCTTTAAAACAGCAAGTCAGTGGTAAAGTAGTAAAGCCCCCCTCTTGCTTGATTTGATTGGCTGCCTGGGCCAAGTGTGACATTGACGAGCAATATTTTAACTTTTATTGCTCTGGAAAAACAATGGTTTTGTGGGCAGCGCGTTTTTTTAGCGAAGTGTTTCATTGAGATCGCGACCTTAAATATAATGTTCGATTTGCTTTGCTTCTTCCAGCTCTGCATTAGCTTTAAATCGTGTGTGGACACCCTACTACTTAAGCTCGATTTCTTCCCTGAAGACCTCATCACCAGAGATATGGCTGACCAGGCAACGTCTTTCTTTTTTTACCATTGTGGGTAGTGTGGCTCGAGATATTTCTTCACCTGTGAGGAGATCGGAAGTCGAGTTGCTGCTGGAGTCAGAATGTAGCGAGCAAGGAGCAAGTGAAAAAAAAAATGGTGTGAAGTGTCATAAAGTGTATAATAGGGGCGACTGTTTTGACTCGGCCTTTACTTGGTCTGGTATGACCAGTTGCTAATGTAGGCTAATGTTGGCTAGCTATAGTTAGCCAACTTTAGATAGATGTTGTTGCTGTCTCAACCATAGACTGTTTATAAGAAGTCAACGTGTTTTTCGTGACGTCATCCATCGGTTTGTGGACTGCTGTTTTGAAGCCTCGAGGTCAGCATTTTGGCAGTCGCTATCTTGGATTTTCGCAACCAGTGAACTGAAGTGATCATATTTGGACTGAGGTGGAGCGACGTAGATACGTTATATACGTCTCTGCTAGAGACCTGTCAATCACCGTGTAGCCCCGCCCTAAAGCATCCCCTGCTTTATGGTCTGTTTGACTCTAAATGGACCATAATGTACTAAATGAACATCATGCTGTATTGAATAAGACTTGAAACTAGAGATTGAGACCATAAACTCATGTTTACAATGTTTACTGAGGTAATAAATCAAGAGAGAAGTAGAGTCATTTTCTCATAGACTTCTATACAACCAGAGGAGTCGCCCCCTGGTGGACACTAGAGAGAATGCAGCTTTAAGACATGAAGCATTGACTTCACTCTTCAGAACCGAAGGTACATTATTGAGACAGTTTGCTGACTTTACGACTGTTACACTGAGTCACAGAAGAAAAGTGCCTCCATTTATTTTGTTACTTTTGGTTCAAAAAAGTTCAAATTTTCACAAACCACTCAAACCAATCAAATAACAAATTTTTTGCCCAACCGTGCAAAAAACAAACCCTTAGCTGTTTCAATCTCACCTTAAACCCCCCCTTGTTTGGATTGAGTTCCAGGAAAGAGAATCCTTTAATTGCAAAGAGAGGAGGATTAAAAGAGAAGAAGGAGAGAGACAGAGAGAGAGAGAGAGAGAGAGAGAGAGAGAGAGAGAGAGAGAGAGAGCAGTACAGGTGGTGGTGTTAGGCAGCGTAAGGAGGATTTGGCAGTGATGCAAAGCAGACAAAGAGTCAAGACAGGGAATGGAAAATCTGTGGTGAGCAGAACGAGGCTGATAAGTATTATCTAAGGTCTTTGGCCCGACCTTGTCGAATCTATTACCAGAATAGGAACGTTTAATCTACACACCCTAATGGGCATCATGGCTACCAATGTGGATACTAGTCGAGGGAGAAGAGGGAGGTCAGATTAACAGTCAGACACGAGATTGAAGAAAAATGGCTTGAACAAAATAAATCTTCATGACTTTGGAGCAAAACGTTACTTTAGTCTTCTTTTTCATTCCATACCATTTCAAAGTTGACAGCTTTGGTTATTTGCTCATTAAATTTGTATGAATTTCATTTTTGTGGCCACTTTGCGAGCACAACATTGACACATCATCTGTTTTTGAGCTGATTTGGTAAACTTATTCACATGTCCAGCAACTTGTGGTGAATGTCAATGTAAGCACAATATTCAATCTCTCATAGCTCAGTTTTTGTTCTCCAACAACTCGACTTTTTAGCTGCTAAACGCTCCACTTTGTTGACCAGCTGGTCTTGTTAGCTACCTGCCGATGAGAGCCTTGAGAGTGAACCAAAATAAAACAAAACAACAGGCTGAAAGACGCTGAAATGCTCCATATCGCTGAGGGTGACGATTCTCTGTGAGTTTGTCACTATGAGCGACATATTTAACATTAGTCACTAGATCAGTTGTTAATATAAAAAATATTGATTATAGCTGCTTTAAGAGAAGCATGTTTTGTATAAAACGTTTTCTGAAATGTTGTGTTTAAATATGCAAATGAGTCATTATCTAATGGTAACTTTTGGTGAATTTAAGAGAAATCTACAGATCAAACAGTCAAAGTAGTAAAATAAACATCTAAATGTGTATTTTGGATGTTTTCTTTCCTCTAGTCTGAAAGACGTGTTATGGAAGAAAAATAGACTGAAATCTCTTAATTGACTAGAGCATGAAACAATGTTTTTTGCCAGAAGTTTCTTGCCTCACGCTCCTGTTGGCTTCACTTAAAGTCATCAAACCTTATCTTGAGATTCAGTTCGACTTGTGTTCTGGGTCTGTCAGATCACCAGACTTTACCCGAGTTGCCCTCGGATGTTAAAATCCCCCAAATGGATTGAATCTGAACGACAGCAGAAGGTTTCTTTCTCACTACTTTTATTAAACCCAGGTTTGCTATAAACTCAGATCTCTTCTCTCAGGTTATTAACAAGATACTTTGGTTCCGTTCCTCGACAGCTCTTTGGTTCTCAGTATGACCCCCCCCCCCCCCCCCCCCCCCCCCCCCTCCACCCCACCACCATGAATAACCTCATGTGAACTGAGCGTGAGCAGGGTATTCCCCTGCAGACAGTATTTGTATAACTAGTAATGGGATTATGAGGACAGCGAGCATGTGTTCACCGGCCTTGCTTCGGATACCGACGGGTGGAAATCAGGGCGTTGGCCTCAGAGAAGTCAAGAATGAAATGTCCCAAGTGACTGAAGTGAAGTGATGATTAGATGGTTTTACAAAGTTAAAGATCACCAGGAAAACATCAACGTTTTGTTTTATCACTTCACGTGAAGAAGTACTCAGATCTCCAGTGAAAGTATTAGTACCACAGTGCAGAAATACTCTGATACAAGTAAAATACCGAACTTTAAATTCTTACTTTAAGTAAAAGTGCAAAAGTATCATCAAAATATACTTTAGGTACCAAAAGCGCTCCTTATCCAGAAAGGCCCATTTCACAATAATATAATACACTGGAGATTGTAATTGTTGATGCATTAATGTGTTCATCACTTTAATTTTGCAGCTGGTGAAGGTGGAGCTCATTTTAAATACTTTACACGGTGCCGTGTATCTTAATCATAATTTATTATATTTAGTATCAATAAGCTGAATCTGAACCTAAAGATGTCAAATAAATGGAGTAAAAAGTAGAATGTTAGCTTTCAAAATGTGATGAGGTATAAAGTAGAATAAAATGGAAATACTCAAGTGAAGTTTTTGTACTAAATTGTACTTCAGTACAGTACTTGAGTAATGCAAGCGACCTTTTGAGTCTAAAAAAAAATGCTCTCAAAGTCTGTTTTTTTGTCTTGTTTAATGTGAGTAATGAAGTGGTGAAGTTTCACGGTGATATCTATTAACTAATCAGCTTTCATTTATGCATCAGGCTTGAAAGACGCTCTTTAATTAACAGATTCATATCAAATCTGACACTATTCTATTTTACCAATAACATTTCTCCTAAAAAGAAATTCAGTTTTTTCTTCCCCTACTTTCTGGATTGTCAACGTTGCTTTTCATATATAACACATTTAAGATATCTAATAACTGTTTCACATGAATTTTCCCTACACATTATAATAAAGTCTACTTTACTTTGTGGTGTTGAAAATGTTTTCTATTTTTTTAAGTTTTAATTATCATCTACACCTAATAACAAAGTCATAAATACTTTGTTTTCATAAATCTAAACATCTCATTTCAAGACACTAGTGCAACAAATCAGCATTCTTTCAGTCTGATCTGACATCGGTTCATTCCACAGATGCTGTAACGGATCTAATGACTTGTTTTGGGATTAACTGGTCTGTTACTGTAGAAGAGCAGATTACAATAATCCCACAGCGAGTAATCTATTATTTTGTAGTCTTGGACTTGGCCAGTGTTTTCAGGTGAATCGGATTACCTGAGCCGTGTCACAGGGAAACTCTGCTGCCACGTCCATTCCTCTTTTTTTATGGATGTAGTAATCTGGAGTTCAGGTGGGGTTCAATCACCTTGTGTTTGTTTATTTATCTTATCTGTTCTGATCTTTCTTCTTGAGGCCACAGGTGATGTATAATCTGCTGGTGTTGTAACTCCTGTTAGTCACCAGTAGAGGTCAGTACAGATCATAGATCTACTAAATACTCTGAATATCAGAGAAGAAGAAGAACTATTTATTGATCCCCAGTGAGGAGAAATAAGGTGTTACAGCAGCACAACAACCAAACCAGATAAAGATAGGAATAATGTAAGCAGGAAAATAAGTTAAACTACATGATAAATGATTATTATAAAGATAAACGCTACAATATCATGGTACAGTGTAAATAAAATGTTCGGTTTATTTACCTTTTCAGGAGTTTGGGGCAACTAACTGCACTTAAGACACACTATAACTTTTAATTGATATATTTATTTTCTTTATTATGTTTTAAATGTTGTTCTAATGCATTTTTTTCACCTCACCATATGTGCAAAAGATAATAAAAGATAAATAATACATAGCAATGAAATAAAACAACAATAAGAAGTGGGATCCATCCTAAAGTAGAACAGGAGTTATGGACCAGTCATTTGTTAGGTACTAAGCTGAAGGAACCACTTCACAGGTACGTTTTAACAAAGCATCGCATTAGAAAAATCATTACACGACAAATTTAAAACAAAATGATCTGCCTTTTGAATATCTCTGAGATAAATAAGATTCATAGACGTCAGACGGAAAAATAGAGGCATTCAGTTCATTACATGGAAGAGTTCTTTCAGTTCATTTGAGTTCATTTCCGACCACACTACTTGTGGAAAGGTGTGTGTGTGTGTGTGTGGGCGGGGTAGCTCGTCATCCAACAGTTCAAAGGTGGTCAGGATGATCCAGATTTACCGAGCCAGGTACACGCGATACACCTGACCGTTCATTCGGGTCTGGTTCATGCGGAGCGTTCACTTGAGTTCACCATGTCGTCCGGCAGGATGGAATCCAGAGGAACACAGGAAGTAACCCGGATATTTAGCACATAAGAGCAGACTGGGATTGGCTGGATGATCTACTGCTTAACCCGAGTTACCGTAGGTTATAAATCACAACAACTATATATATTAGAGGGTTAAGTACAGAATATATTATGCATGATGTGCATTTATAAATACATGTAAAGGTGTTTATTGTATACATAAAATATACAAATAATGACATATAAAAGATATAAATAAGACATTAAAATACAATATAATGTAAATATATATAAAATATTATAATATATGACATGTTATATATATATAACATGTTATATACTGTATAGTGAATGCAAACAGTATGCTTTCCTCTTCATCCTGTTTATGATATACTAATTTTATATATATATATATATATATATATATATATATATATATATATATATATATAGAAACAGCACCATCATTACACATGTTCATAAATAACAGGATGAAGAGGAAAACATACTCTATACATTGATATATATCTATATATCAATGTATAAATGTTTTAATTTATTTTTGTTGTTTGACTTGTTAACTTATTAAAATGTATATATTTATTATATTGCTATATTGTTTGTAAATAGAGAATTCATCTTAAATGGTTGAAAATGTAATAAAAAACAGATATTTATAGTGCAAATGCATTTATTGAAATCCAACAAGAGACCAGATATAAACACTAAAAAATACTATTGATAATAAAACATCAACATCATGTAACAGAGCGGTGAGTGAAATGATTCTGAGGTGTAACACTAGGAGTTTGATTCAGTGTCTGTATCTCATACTAACACTGACGAACACAGGAGGCAGCAGACTTTTATACTGAAAGGTAGTCAGACTTCCTGTCCGTTGGCTCACAGGTGGCCCCTGTACGTGCGGATCTTGCGGCTGATGTTGCGAGCCAGCCGGTCGACGGCGCTGCTGATGTGTCCGAGCTCCCTCTTGGAGGTCAGACCGTCGATGTTTCCGCTGTACCACAACACCCACCCGGCCAGAGACATGAGCACGAACAGAGCTCCTGTGAACAGACCGGCGGCCGCGTGTTAGAGAGTCAATTCAGGGAAAGTCCACCACTTAGTCGAGTAGCTATGATCAAAAAATATATATACAACTGTTACAAAGGTGTGTTATTTTACGTATTCTATTATTACCTGTTGACATCAGCTGCCAGGAAGTAAACGTGGACCCAAGCTGTTTATATTTTGGATTTATTGACATCTAATATTTGCACTCTTTCTCGCCTAAACTGCTGCACAACAATTTCCTTTGATGTCAATAACGTTATATTTGATCTCTTATTGTCTTTTATCAGTCTTTCTTGTGTTTCCTCATTGATTTGACCTTTTTCTTTACAGTTTATATCACGCTGTAGACAAAACTATAGCTCATGATGTTGAACTTGGTGTTGATTTAATGTGTTTGAACATTAAATGTTGCTCGATGAAGCAGTTATCATGAACGGGAGTGAAACCCAGATAAGAACTGTATTTGCTTTCTGTTTCTGCTCAATGATTCTGGTTTAAAAGTGTAAAAATTAACATTACATCAAAATTGCACGAGTTCAGATCAAAGTGATGAAACTGTGAACTAAAAAAAGTTCACGTTTTATGTTTGTTCCTTTTTTTAAAAGCTCTGAAATTAAAATAAAACATGATCATTATTAATTTCTCTCATGGAAACAAGCTAACATGCATGCTTTCTGTTAAGATTGTACTTCCAATAAAAAAAAGAAGAGAAAATAAATATATTCTTGTTTGAGTTGCATGATTCAAAGTCTTTTCTGTATGTAATATTAATACATTTTGCTTTTTAACATTTTTAATTGAAACACAGGAACAAATCAATCTCCTCACTAAAATATCAGATTTCTTTTCCACTACTGAACGATCCCACTGAACTAATAAACCAATAAAGAACGACCAACGACTGAATGTTTTCCTCTTTCCTACTTCATGAGTTTGTAACTCATCACATCTACTCCACATCACTGGGGCTGTTGTTTCATACCAGTATAGACCAGCAAGTCTCCAAAGTCCCGCCCTTTGATCTCCAGGGGGGCGAAGACTCCCACCAGCAGAGCGGCTCCTCCCAGTAGATCCATCAACACAGCGAAGGCCAGAGCCAGTTTACAGTGGGAGAGGCCGTGACACAGGCCCATCGTGAACCTGGGGAGGAAGAGAAGAAAGGCTGTTATTATATTTTAAAAAACATTCAAATGTGCCATTTTTTTTCACTGAAATCTGGCTTTTAGAGCTGCAAACACATGTTTTTAGTGTCCACCATATATTAATATGCATGTTTACCCCGAATGTAGAATAAAATGCTACATTTCTAGGTTTTTCTTGAATGCTAATTGTCATTTTCAGCATAAAACACTTAAAGATGAGTTAGAGATTCATACTGGGATTGCTTTATGTATTTGATGTCAGACATACCATTTACAAAATCAGCAGCCCAGAAACTGGCAGCTCATTGAAACAAATAGAAATTCATCAAACTTTGTGTTCAGAGAATCAAGCACATGATTAGAGGAGTAACGGCAGGAAGGAGGTGCTTGTCTCTGTAACAACATGGATCATAAAATCAATCATTAAACCAGTTTAAAGAAATGTTATTAGTACTTAATGATACATTAATATAATAATACACATAAGTCATTGGTATTATGTGTGCTTTAATCAATGATTGAAATAGTGCAGTGGTGGAAGGTACCGTAGTACAGTTACACAAGTAGTCTGTTGTATTCAAGTACAGATTTGAGGTACTTTTACTTTACACAAGTATTTCCTTTTCTTTCTTAATGTTGCAATGTTTCTTTGATCATTTTAAAAACAATTTACTTCAAAGTTCATTGCACATGTAAAATAAATAAATAAATAAATAACTTAGAGGCACTAAAATCATTCATTTTCTTTTTAATCATTTTGATAATTTATTTATTTTTAGTAACCAAACAATTAATCTATTAAAAGTGAAATAATAATAATCATTAGATAATAGTTAGAAATGAGCTCCAACTACAACAGTAAAGGCCTGTTTATACATCAATGCATGAGTAATAATAATCTAATATTAATATATAACAGTACAACAGTCACAGGGCACATTTTTCTGACTGTAGGCTACTTAAACACTTTTACTGAAGTAACACTTTCAATGCTGCGCTTTTACTTGTGGAGTATTTTTACAGTGTTGTATTAGTACTTTTACTGAAGTCAATGATCTGAATACTTCCTCCACTGCCCGTACAACCAATATGTAATCTATGTTAGCCACCATGTTCATAGCCTCCCAGCTAACGTCACCAAACACCTGTGTGACTCTGGCCAGAAGCTTTTCAGGTGTAACAGTGTTCAGTTATGACGTCATCATGTCTGTGAGTCTTCTAAACAACATTTAATGTTGTTTTTATTGTGCGAATAGTCCGACAAATATGAATAATCTAAAAGTTAATTATCATTGAGCTTCATGAACTCAATCACAGCACAAAGCCTCCTCAGGTGAGTCTGTTTTCTGACAAAGATTTTTGACTTTAAATCAAACAGAACATTGAATTCTACACCATTTATTATATTTATTTATGTTCTTCTCTGACTCACGTGTTGTTGTTGTCCGTCCAGCTGCATACAATCTCAATCGCTCCCGAAGCTCCTCTCGTGCAGCTTTTCTTTGCTTCCGCGTTGTTCACCTTTTCTGCGGACGTCGCCTCCTTCTCCAACCTTACCTGCGCACCAACCCCCCCCCCCCCCCTCAGGTGATGCGTTTCCGGTCTGGCCCCCCAGTTTCAACCCTCCAATCGCGAAAGAGCAGCTCGAGACACTTCCGTCTGAGGTGGAGTCATGCAGACAGACAGTAGGAGCTGCTGAGGTGTTTGGACAGAAGTATTAAAAGGTGCTTTTTTTTCTGGAGCGAATTAACACGCATCGTTGTGCGCATGTGCGTACCTGAGCGTGGTACACCTGTTGAAGCCACTTAATAATCAGGTAATTGCCGCTGAGGGTGAGGTCGCGCGGGCAGCTGTGTGTCGTTTCAGGCTGTATTACAGAAGTATAACTGGAGACTAATAATAACAAGTCTATCACAGTATGTCAGTGTATTACTGATAAGTGCAGCTCACCTGAACGGACCCTTCAGTCATGAACTCTCCAACCAACAGAGACGATGCACACCAGCCAGGTAAGAGCACCTTTTAAATGGCGTATCCAGCTCGTGCTACCAACCCACTGACGGGTGCGTTTAAATGACTTTAACGTGTTATAATGAGCTAAATATCACGTCTGTTCTTAGACCCGACTGTCTTTGTTTAATGTGTTTTTCTCGACATGTTACAAGATTTAAAAGAGTTGTGGAGCAAATCACTTACTGCCTCTAAACTTCCTCCAAAAAGTCATTATTATTGATAAGCTAATACATTTTAGTCCACGTTTTTATGACCTAATACCTCATTTAGTTGTACACACTTTAAACGCTGTTTTCTATGTTATGACTATTTTACTGATGTTCTGTTTTGTTGATTTAAGCTTTTAGTTTTTGGCATTGTGTATATCATTTTATTGATATTTTTTACTCCTTTTTTTAAATATGTATTTTTAAATTTGCACTCTTTTGTACTGCTGCTGCACAACAGTTTCCCTCCAGATAAATTACATTATATCTCCTCTTATTTGATCATTTATTGTCTAGTTTATGTAAAGCGAAAGTGAATAACCTAAAAATAGTTTAGAACTTTATTAACTTTGTTATTGGAGTTGAAACAATAAGTCAGTCCACAGTCATTCACTTTAGATATTGATTCATTGTTTAAAGCTAAAATGCTGAAACATTTTCTGCTTTCAGCTTCTTAAAGATGAGGATTTTGTACAAATTGCTCTGAGGAATTGTGATTGCCAGATTTGCATTGACAACATCGTGTCTTATGATCAATTTAATAATTTTAGCCCAAACCATAAGACGGACTCATTAAGTGCTCGGTGATAACATTAGAGGAGGACATCTTTTAATGCTCTAAAACACTGTGGGAAACCCTGATTTATAAACTCAAATCAACTAATAAAAGAAGAATCAACAGATGAAGTAATAATGAAAATAGTCTTTGGTTGTGGTGGACTTAACTTGCTAATGTTCTGCTGTCTTGTGTGTGATTGTCAGAGCACTACATGCCCCAATCATCATCCTCCTCATCGTCAGGAGGAGGAGGAGGAGGAGGAGGTCTGTATCTGGATGCCTATGAGGTCTCCTTCCCTCTGGAGGAGAGCATCGAGAGGCCACCTGCGTATCACCTGAACCAGGGTGAGCAGATGATGGACGGTACGTCACGTCTACGACACATGACCACCGCTTTACTTCCAGCGTTTCACCAGCTTCATGAAGTAGCAGCAGCAGCAAGCTGGGATAGTTAGTTAATCAGCAGTTAACGGTGTTCATGAAGAGGTCAATAGATGTTGGAAAGTCTGTCAATTTGAATAGTGTCTGAGATCAATTTAACCCTTAACAAGCATGTTAAAACCCACAGAACCCAAAGTTCTTCCTTTAAACACACTGTCTTTTATCTAACTTTGAAGAAAGTGATGAAGGATATTGGGAATATTAAATTTCTGACATCACAGTTCTCCAAATCAATATACTGTTTATGTGTGTGTACTGTGTGTATATATATACACACACAGTATATGACGAGTAGTACATTTCTTCTTTTAAATAAAAGGCAAAATAGACAAAAAACACGACAATGTGATGACTTGAGAATATAACATCACAAAAAGAAAATACGAGAAAAAAATAATTAATTCATAAGTAAATAACAAGAGACATAATAAAATGAATAATTAGTTTGACAGTATGGATACATTGAGAAATAATAATAAGAAAGAG